GAACCCTTTAAAGTCCAGGGAAGTAGATTGCTCTAATTCCACATGCCATACCTTTTTTTAGATATCTCAGTTTCAGCTAATTCCCTTTTAGTAACTAAACTCTCCAGGTTTTGTTCTCTCTGCTGTGACCAGGTATTGAACTCACAACTCTTTAGGTGAAGTTACTTTTTCTACTGATAGATAACAATTATATAGTCAATTGATAAGTCTGCTGCTAGGAATGTTGGTTCAATATTTTGTGTTAGACAATTTTTCTCATCAGAATCTATCTTGCATCTTTATAAGTCTACCATTCATCCATGCATTGAATATTGTTGCTACATCTGGTCTGGTGCTTCTGCTGTGTATCAAAAGATTCTTGATAAAATCCAAAAAAGAATCTGCAATATTATTGGTCCTGACATCCCAGCATCGGTCAGTTTACCACCAACATAATGTAGATTGCTTGTGCCTGTTCTGTAAATATTTTCATGGCAATTGTTTGAATGAGCTTTCTTCTTTGCTATATTGACTTTATGAATTTAAATGTAATACTAAATTGGCAGCTAGGTTTTATCATTTTACTTTTGAAATTACTATAGATTTAGCTGTAAGTTTTATTGTCATAGCTTCTTCTCTCACACTTCTTGCCTGTGGAACCATTATTTAGCTTTTGTTTTCCTGTCAACTATCATCTTCAAAAATTTAAATACAATGTCAACCATCATACTCAGTCTTTTTGAACCCTGTTTTGTTTTTTTTTTTATTGTTGTTATTGAATAGAAAATTCAATAACATTTTCTTAGTCACTTTTGCTCTCAGTAACCCCTTGCATTTTACTGGCTTCATTGCCTTGCTTGGGGGTGAAATGATTTTTAAAATAACTTATTTCTTAAAATAATTCTTTACATCTACTACAATTTTTTTTATATATATAAAAAAAGCTCATCTTTTAATTTATTAAAATGTATTATTTGGAGTATATCAATATTTTTATTAAATCAATTATATTTAATTGTACTTATCTTAAACAAGTTTGAACAAAAAATTAGTTTTCAAAAAATACAAATGCCAATGCAAAATATGTGTGTATATATATGACGTGTTTGGTGGGGGAGGGGTATATTCAACAAAAAAAATAAAAAATAAAAAATTGCTTTTTTTCACTGCAACTTATTTATTATATCATATCCAAGTATTTTACAAAAAAATTAGAGCCGATTACACAATATTTCAAGCTCAATTTGGGTTTATAGTTCATAACCATGCAATGAGATGAGGTAACATAAACTGTACATTTGTCTGCAGAATATCATTACATTATTGTTACATAATTATAGTGAAATCATTAACGTTTTTTTGTCAAAAGAATTTTATTTTTGGTCATATATTAATTTAAATTATTTCTTTTTACAGACTTTAATTTTGAAATGGAATAAGAGCATTCTAAATTTCAGAATTTCGGTATTGCCCATCAAAATGTATGAAAGATAGCAATCTAAAAACAACAACTATGGAAAAGAGATAACAAAGCATAAACAAAATAGCTCCAGTTTGTTCAACTTAGGAAACTTAAAATTGCGGCCAAAATATTCTAAAATGCTGCCAAAGGAGAAAATGAAAAAATATCTAAAAACAAATCAAATATAGCATCAAAATTTATATTATTTTTATTTATTTGTTATGTAACTAAATACATAATTGCTAACAATGTTTCTGTAAAACTTGATATTTCCTGTAATAAATTCTTGATAAATATTATTATTCTTATTATTTTACTTAAGTGTAAGGTAGTCCTAAATTCCGAATTCCTTACAGCTAACCATGAAAAGAAATCTTGATCAAAACTATCTAAAACCTTTAAGTGCATATTGCTGCAACCACCTCTGCCAAATGTGTCATATATGCTAGAGCAGTTAGCCAATCCCTGTTGCAGATGCCTGCTCAGGCACTTTTGTGTTTGTTCAACACCCTTGTGGGTGTTGAACAAACTGTGATTTATATTTCAACTATGCTGAGCAGTCTTAATTATAATTTCTGGGAGAGAACACATCATCTGGCATGATGAACAGTTTGAACCAGGCCAATACATTCAAACCTTCAGACTTGTGACTTCATGCTAGCACAACCAAAAAGCTTGGGCGAACCCATGGTATGCTTTTCAAAGGTGCTGCATGCTGGTATTGCCTCTCCAGGATGATAACATCAAAGTCACATTCCTGACAAATTGACCATGCTGAGATTCAAACCAGGGTCTCGTGGTCAGAAAGTGTCCTAACCACTCAGCCATGTGCCTAGAATAAAATTGCTGCAAGTAATGTTACAGTCAAAACAGCAGAAAAGTTAAGAAAATGAATAAAAGACTTATGGAATAGAATGTCAAGGAACCCACATTAAGATGTAATATAATAATAATTTATTTAGGTACAGTGGTGTAGCTAGTGTTTTTGCCACCCAGGGCAGCCCCCTTAGAAAAGGAATACAATATTACAATGCACATTATCCCCTTATGAAAAACAAACACTTAAAATACCATAGGCTATTATCTGTGATATTTTAAGTGTTTGTTTTTTATTATATGATAATTATTACTCTGCCTTTGACATAGAGCTCTCAACAGATCTATAATCCTCTTGGATATTCCATACAGATTACCAATAATTTTATCATTAATAAATATATATATATATATATATATATATATATATATATACACACACACACACACACAGTCAACAACAAAATTATTCATACACCCATCAATTTTTGATATTTTTATCTATTTTTCTGAATCTAATGATCGTATGATGCCAAGTTTTTTTATATCTTAATAAGCACACAAAAGCAGACATATATTTATTATGTATTTGATACATAATTATGGCACAAGGTCAAAGGGGGGAGTAAGTTAAGGCTGGTCATCAGTAACTATCCTAGTCTTAGTTATTTATAACTCCTCACTGATAAAGTTTAAAAACTTTTTACAATATTAAAAGAAAGATAGCTTGTTTTTGTACTTTTAATTCATAATTTATCATATTTTAAAATATTTATTTCAATTCTAACAAATGAGGAGTCATAAATTAAAGGCCACATTAACAGAAACACAGTTCATTTTTCTTTTAACAATGTAAAAAAAATGCAATGTCTTTAAATTATTTTGTTTTACGTAGTTGAAGTTATTAGCAAAGTAGTAGACTAAGAATTAAAAGTCCAATAAAATTAATTTCACTTTTAAAAACTGAAATAAATGTTATACTTTTAATTCTTAGTATACTTTGCTTAATAAAACTTTAACTATCCAAACAAAAAAATAAAACACTGCATTGTTTTACTACTGTGAATAGAAAAATTGAAAAAAATGCCTATTTTTGAACTTTAAATAAAGTTTATGCACTTAAATAAAATATATTAATTTTCAATTATCTTTTAAATTTTCATTCAATATTTCCAGAAAAAATCGGAATACATGTGATATCCTTAAAGCATTGGAATTATTTCAATTTATTTTTCCATCTATTTTATAATTTATGAAAAGTAATGATTTTATATCCATATTAAAGCTAGGCCTATGATAAAATAAAAAAAAAACAATTGGTTCACTTAAATTTTTTTTTTCACTAACAGTTCAGACATGAAAAATCAAAATCAAGAAACTGATGCCAAAGTTTGGACTTCTCACATAGGTGTGAAAAACTGTGGATTCACTTAATCCAACCCCACATTAAGCTCTTTAAAAATGTTCAAATTTTTTTCATACCTTTTGCTCTTGTAAGTGGAGTTTATTCCCACCAGCTGACAGCACATTTTGAAGGCAATTTTTTTTTTATGGCTGGCTCAAAGCCAGCCATATCAAAGACAAATTGTCTTCATTTGAACACTATCTTCTTCCTTATCACTGCTTGTTTTTTTTTCTTTGCAAAAATTATTGAAATTATGCTGTTGTTTTTTTTTTTTTTTTCTTTTCTGAAAGCTCACCATGGACCAAAAGTGCCGCCTGAGGCAATCACCCCCTCCTCACCCCACTAGCTATGCCACTATTCAGGTATATTCAATGTTGTATCAATCAAATATGTTTCTGTGGCCTATATCTTTTAAATATTTATGCTGTGTTTAATTAGTTTAATAAAACTTGAAATCTCCAAAGACATTACAGGCTAAAACTCATACAATATTTTGATCATATAAATTTATCTTGAAAATTTTACCAACATCCTTTTAATATCAATTTTTAAAACAGTGACTTGTATAATAAACTATGACAGTGAATGTGCTGATGTTTAGTTTTTCTCTTCATTTCCAGTAAAAACATAAAACCAAGCTGAAGCAAATGATCTTCAGTGTTTGATTTGGATATTTTATGCATGTTGGCTATATTCCACAGACAAACATTGATTATTCTAAACTAATGCCAGGATTTGATTGCTATCAACTTCAACTGATTTATTCAACCATGGAGCAACAAATCTAGAGCACAAAACCTTTACAAACCATTTTTTACATGTCTGATCATTTACACAACCTTCTCTATAAACTGTACAAACCTTCTTTTTTTTTTTTCCATTTCATTTGAATTTTAAAAGAAAAAGAATAACATGCTGAAAATCCTATTTTCTTTTGTTTTAGAATTAACAAAATTATGCCAAATCCAAAAATTTCTTCTATTGGTATACACCAATATGGCAAAATTCAGAATTAAAATAGATTTCTTTGAATGAAGCTAAAACTAACTGTTCTTAATGCCATCTAATTAAAAAAAAAAACAATTTGGACACTTCATTATGTTTATGTTTAAAATTAAATGTATTTTCATGCAATCATTTAAGATTGAGTGTCATATTTTGATATGCATATGCATAAATATTTCTACAGTGCAAAAAGGCTTTCAGATCTTTGAAAGAAATGCAAATATTTTTCATTAAGCATATGCGCAGTGAGTATTAAAAATGAAAATGAAAAGATACAAATCTTTACAACAAAATCTTAACTCCAACAGTAAATGAAATAAAAGCAAAACTTACTTGCATTCGTTCCACCGGGTCTGTAGCAGTTCCAGCTTTCTGTAGTAAGTAGGCATACTCCATATATTCAGCCATTCGCTGTAATAAACTGAGAGGTTCGTTAAAAATGACTGGCATAGTCATTTTCGATAGTTCCTGGAAAAAAAAGAAAAGAGTTGAAATTCATGCATCAATCAAAGAAAAAATATTTATGGGTTCAAGTAGTATTCTGCCAATCTAACTAAATAAAACTGCTATTTCTATTTAAAGAATCTGTTTGATCTAAAGTCAAGGTATTTTCTTCAATATCTTTAATGAAACTAAACTACTTGGTAAAATGAATAAAAACTAAAAGCCTCACAGCCTTTAATTAATTAATTTAATCATTTTTTGTTATTTTATAAAATATTCATAATAAATAAAATCCATTAGTAAAATCATTTTCTAAAAACATAATATTAATTTGCCCTAGACGTCATTATCTAAATAACATTATATATAAAATCTAAGATGAATTTTCTGTTAAATTTAAAATCTGTAAGGCTGATTTCTAAAAAAAGTAGTTTTCATAAAGAAAAAAGAAATTATATCAAGATAATTGAAAGTTATTTGTTTTGAAGTTTATCAATGTCTGGCTATTCAGCGTTTTCTCTAATCTTTCTATGAAAGTAAATTACAAAAAATGAAATGTTTCATAAATATATTGACATGTATGTAACAATTTCTTTCAAATTGAAAATCAGACATTTCAATGTTTTGCAATCAGATTTTCAAACTGCAACACATTTTACAGAAAAAAATTTGAAAGTTTAGCAAAACAGGCAGGCCAGAGTTAATGGAGAAAATGGTATTAAACCAATAGTAACTTAAATAGTGTCTTTGTTATTTTTTTTATTTTTTTTTTACATAGTTACATATTCAGTACTGCTCAGTTTTTGTAGTTTACTTTTAATAAATAAAACAGAAATATCTATGACTGTATGACTTATGGAAACTATATAATGAAGTAAAAAAATGATGATATGAAAACCACATTTTCTTCTGCATCCATTAGACTCATATTGCAAATATTACCTCCATTCTAAACATTAAATGTCAACATTGATTACCATTTGTTTTTTTCTGAGTATTTAATGCTTTCAAAGTAATTTTAACCAAAAATTGATAGCTAGTATTCAAGTTGGGCTGTTTACAATTTTAAGCATGTATATGTATTTTCATGTATCTATTCATGTGTAGGGGGAAGGTCTCGTGTGCTTATTTGTAGACATCAATAATCCCCTACACATTTATATTATCACAAATGTAACAAAATGATGAACAATAAGAGAAAAATAATATTCAAGACAAGAGTGTTTGCATAACAATAAATAGAAATTTTTATATAACAAAAGGTACAAGCATTTGTTGAAAAAGTTATTTAAAACATTCAAATGTCTTTGTATGTTTGGAGTTGAGTTTAGTAATGTTCTGATCTGAGTTGTGGAATAATAAGAGTGAACATGAGATAGTATAATTTGTCTATGTCAAAATTAAACAGCCAGTTTTATGAAAACTGTGTGAATGAAGTGGACTTACTTTGTGTTATAACTCGATTGTCTTTGATATTTGTTGACTTTAAGTTAGCTTGTGTTGAAAAAGCGATGGAAACTGTTTTAGTGTTAAAAGAATTTTAATGTATAGTCTGAAATGAAGAACAGTGATACAAGCAGTATATCATGTGATAGGCTCCAGAATTTTTGGTGCAAATGTATTTTTGCTCAGGTCAAAAATAGGGTCAGTACATTTGGACATAGTTCACAACACAAAATTGATATTTTTCAGTCAAAAATGTATTGTTGTATTATTAAATTTAGAGACTGTGATTTGGGTTTTTTTACAAATGATATAGGATCTTGATCCTATACATGCAATGATTAATCATGAACAAACAGGTAATGAAACAAATGAATGTTTTCATTGTCAACAATCAATGTCCTTAACCCTCTAAATTCTTTTTCTTACTATTCTATTACAGGTCATTCTAATGTTCTTACAGATTCAAATAAACAGAATATATGAAATTTGAACAGGAGCAGTAATAATGACCAATTCTCTACAGACAATTTTAAGGATGTCATATTAGATTGAATATTTAAGTGCAAAATAGAGTGACTGTTTGCTTTTTGCTATGCAGAAGAAAAATACAAATTCTTAAAAAAAAAAAAAAAAAAAAAAAAAATCTTAATGGCTAACTAGAAACACTAGTTACAAAAGAACCTGTACAATGTGTTGTTTATATTATTAAAGCAAAGAGAGCAAATATTCAACCAGAAACAGCAACACTAAAAATCCCTTAATGATTTTCATATTAGCCCATTGACTTCCTTGGAAACATTATATAAATATAGACATTAAAGATTTTACAAGCAGATAGAGTGTGTATTAATAGTGAGGCATATCAACTTTTATGTCTTTTTCTGAGTAGAAGGAAAAATTCATTTTTATAAGTATGTGTAGAATTTAGTGCTTAATGGTTTGAACTATAGCACAGAAAAGACAGCAGTTTCATCAATAAAAGATGCACATTTAACAATTTGGCATGTTAACTCGGTCTTAAGCTACAATCATTAATAAATGATTACATTTCCTGAAGCATGTGTAGAATCCTTTTACCTCTTTTGTGAAATATTCTACAGAATTTTAAAATTGCACAGATTTTCTTTTACATGAAATTCACCCATTTTTTTTTTATTATGTAATTCCAATTTGCATACCTTATTGACTGGTAGAATTGTCAATAACTGAAATTCTCATCTATTAAACAAGATTATAATAGTTTCCTATTCACTAGGATTAGACAGGAAGAAAGAAAAGTACACTGAGAGTTAATGCCAAATGAATAGGCAATTCATGTTATATTTATTTCAAACAGAAACATATTTCATATGAATGTGAAGAAATAATAGTTGATTATATCACTATGGTAAAATAAAATAACAAATATGTATATATAATGGTTGAGTATTAGAATCCTGATAATCTAGTAGTGTGCTTAAATTCATAAATTCTAGGTACCATAGAGGAAAATTCATCAGAACTATTACCATGAAAATATTGATAGAAAAGGCACAGGGTTTGGTTTGGTTGTTGTGACATATCAACCTCAATGGGTCATTTAATGCCAACAAAATTTTTTTGCTGGTAATATTTTATTTTGTCAAAAATCTATTTCTGGTAATATTTTTCCTTCAAAAATGTATTGTTGGTAATAGTTTTTTTTCCTTCAAAAATTTATTGCTGGTAATAATTTTTTACAAAGTATTTCTGGTATTAAAACCTATTTTTACACAATTTTGGGTGTTAACTATTTGCCCATAGCTGGGACCCTAACAGGTGCTACCACCCCAGGTCAGGGTGAACCTGAGAAGACCAGCAATTAAGAATTAATTAATTAATAACACCAGAATCTAAACACATAGCAAAAGTACTGAACCAGATGTGGTAGCAATATTCAATGCATGGATGAATTATAGACTTATAAATACATTAAGATAGATTCTAAAGAGAAGAATTATCAAGCACAACACAGTGAACCCACCTTCCTAGCAGCAGACCTGACATTTAATATAATCTTTCCACTTCAGGTTAATTTTGTGATGTAAGCCCATAAATACACAACTCAAATTGACAGGAACAAGAGAGGATATTAAAAATATTAAAAAACAGAATATATTAGAGTGAAAATAATCTTAATATTCCACCATGTTAAATAATTTAGTGCAAGATACAAATTAATGGATTTTAATTTTTAATATTTTGTAGTCTCTACTAAGTTTCAATACTAAACATATCAATACTGTGTTAACACTTTTCTCTAAAAGGAAATTGAAAAGAAATTTTTTTATTATTACACAAATTCATGCAACAATGCATACATTTTCCCTTTCATTAGCTCTCACTGTTAATCATCTGAATTACTACTCAAAGCAATTCTACTTATGTTCCTAAGTATGTAGATACATTTTAATGTGGTAAATAGAACACACATAAATTCTTTAGTCTAAGATTTAATACTTAAAAATCCATGATGACCTACAATGTAATTTTTATTTCCAGCTTGTACTAAATATAAGCAATCAAGGTAGAATATTTCACTGAAGTGGTAAAAAATACTTCTGGAGCTAAAAATTAATAGGGAAAAAGAAAAACTGACTTAAAGAGAAAAGCAATAGTTTCCGTGAATCATAAGTGTAACATTTGTAAAATCAAAGTTATATAAATATCACCTTATGCTTGGCATATCATGAGCAGCTTTAGGAACTGAACTCTGATTCATGGTTTAGTTCTAGAGCAAACAAGGTTTTATAACTGTGAATAAATAGGTGCAGTTAAGAAAGACTAATTTCATCAACTCATTTTAGAAATAGAAAAACTTGGACTTTATGCTAAAAAACACAGTTGGTTTTATCTATTTTCATACTTACAAATATTTATGCAGTTTTTAACATGAAATCCTAAGATTATGAACTTTGAAATCATATTTTGTATTTTATGAATTCATCATTCCCATACTTGGATAATCACGTGTGTGTGTGTATATATATATATATATATATATATGTGTGTGTGTGTGTGTTAAATATTGGTAAATATATATACATATTGGACAAGAAAGATATGAACTGATAGGAAGTTCATATCTGTTTAAATATTATATATATAAATAATAAATGTGAGTGTCATTGAGTAACACTTTTTCAACTTAAAGGGACACAACTCTCTAACTTTCAATAGCTTATTTCAAATGAAAAATTTACTATTTTCAAATTACAATGTTTCAAAATAAATTTGTCCATGTTTTCAACTTTACTCCTAGAAGCTGAGAGCTCAACATATAATACCATTTTGGAAACAGGCCAATTCCATGAGCAAATTAAAAACATTCCAGGCTGGATCTGGAATTTGTGTACATTTAGGATGTCATGATCATTTGTCCTTTTTGTCCCCCCACCCCCAACTTTACACTTACTTATTAGCAAACCCCGTTTCCTTCTTTTCTTTCGACAGTTGCTTTTTTTTGTTACAAGTTGGAACAACTCTAGACATGCTACTAATTTTAATTTTTGGGCATTCTAGGTTTTCTTTTTTTCTTTTTTTTTTTTTTGTTAAGGATT